GCACGGTAATGGATTGGTAATGGAGAAAATGACCTAAGCTGTGGCCACACCCAAAAAACCAATAAACAACGTAATACCGGGCTTTTGATCACATTGGAACCTCCTTACAGCTAGAAGCCTTCTAATCGTTTTGGACTCCTTGACGTTAGGGACCTGTGGGATTCTTGGAACTCCCGACCACGAGGGAGCTCCGGCGGTGTGGGGTCCCTTGACCGTCTTTCAGCTTCTGGCTTGTCCGCGCTCTTCATCGACTTTTGATCCCATGAACCTTTGAAAGTCTTGTATTCGTCTTGCGACCCACCTCCTCCGATCTCCCGACGATGTAGAGAAGTTTTCCTGATATCCGCCCTCTCTTTAGCTTTTGGGAAACTTACGACCTCGGTGATCCACATTTGGTTTAAAAATCTGCCCCCCATCCTCACAGAACAGGTTCTGCTTTCCCAAGAGTTTTGCCCTTGTTGCTCCAAACCGCTCACCGCGACGCCACGAAATGCTGTGGTTTTCATATTAATATACATGTGTTACGTACAATTTTTTAAAGAAATCGGTACAGTGGGGGCGGTTCCAGCCACTCTTTTTCGCAGACAACCTGCTGGGAATTGAGAGCAATAAACGGTCAAATTTGTTCGCACAATTCCGTCGCATTTTTGGGCGGTAAACTAATGATCGCAGTTTATTGTATAAGATTATATATGTGTATATATATATATATATATATATATATATATATATATATATATATGTGTGTGTGTGTGTATACAAGCACACTAGGTATGTACCAACAGATACTGCAAAATGAAGGCGTATCTACTAATGCATTGCTTGCGTTCTTTTGTTTGCTTGTGCTTCCGGCGCAGAGTGGAAGTTTCCATGATGTTCGCACCGTATCAAATTTCTATGAGAAAAACAAATGCCACCGGTGGCTGCAGGCCGCCTATTGTTGTTTTTTAGGGGTGTGTATGTGGGGTGGGGGGTCATCTACGTTACGTGAGCACAAATAAAAACATAGGTGTATTTAGAGGTAAACTGAAGAGAGGAAATCATCCTATGCAGTTGTATGTATGCAACATCCTGTTTTTGTACCATAGATATTCATTTGTTGCCAGCTTCACCAAGGCAGCTACCTGATCAACTGTAAATAATAAGTCATCTTTTGAAGATGCTAGTAATTTGTTCCCATACATTCCTGCATTATAAAATGGCATGCATTGATTGCATAAACCAATATACAACAGGTCTTCCCTATAAGGTGACCTCAGTCCGCCATTGCCCGCCACATTGCATCAACGAAATGTTACACGCGGAACCTAAGTGACGGCAAAAATGCATGCAATATGAATAAGCACCACAAGAACATGCACATTCCATGTATTAAATTTAAAAGTGAAAATACGCTTGTACATTCCAGGCTGACTCTGGTTTGTTCCATGTAACCTATTCATTAACTACTGGCTCGGCGGCCTTTTAAAAATCCTAAATTTCAGGGGCTTTTCCCTTCCTCAAAATTTTCTGATTGTCTCTTGTGTAAAAATCGATTTGGTGGGCCTAGGAACATAGACCTTGTCGAAACCATTCGGAAGGAGTTTGTACCACCAAACTCCTACTACTCTACCAAACTACCAAGTTACCAACCTAGTTTAGTCTACCAAACTACCAAACTATTAACAAAAAACTACCAAACCAGTTCCCAAACTCGGTTCCCATCAAAAGTGGTCCTCGAGATTTTGGGCGGGCGGGCGCAGAACCTGTCCTCCGCTGCAGTTTGGTATAAATCTCACAGTTCAGCACATGGACTTCAAGAATCTTCTGCCTGGGCTTCCCAAACCATATTGGCTCGGTTTACTGTCTTAGGCAGGTCTCTGGCGGTCTGAGTAGGTGTCGGTTTCCTGTCTCATGCCCTTCTAAGCTCACCGTGTGTTTATCTACTTTATACTTGATTTGGACACAATTTTGCGGGCGTACAGTCGCATTGAGGGGCTAAGTGGCGATCGCTGACCTATGTACAGTAACATCGAAGCTGAATGGCGATCACTGACCTATCCAGATCCGGTCTGGGATCATCCTCACCAATGATCGTCAATTCCCTCCCCTCTCTTCCGTGAATAGTGAAATTCCCCAGCAAAGACTTGCATTGCCAGCAGATCATTTGGTCGCCTTTAAAACGGTTCAGACATAGACGGCGTGGAGCATATATACTGAAGTTGTCCAGCTGTTCTTAAATGAGAGAAGAAGCAGACGGAAAATGAGTGCTGAGCCCGTTTTGAAACATCATGCAGGTTTCCAATTCGTTCGGCTTGAGTTTGATCGGCGTAGACATCTATTTGCGGAAATTAGGACAAGCATCACAACGCAGCGCAGCTGGCTTTTTCGCACCACAGTGCATCACGGTCAGTCGAAAGTTTCCAGCCATAGTGTGTCTATCTTTTTATGATTATTTTATACGCACCACATGCTTTATCTCTTTGGATACGCACATGCACCAAAATGATTACCGCAAACTTCCCTTACACAGTAACGTACCGGCACAAACGCCACGACTTTATACGCACGGCTTACTTCCGCGCGTCCAAAGCAGCGAACGTATCATAAATCACATAAATTCCGCAGTTTTTACCTTATCACCATTCACTCTCATTCTAAGATGCTTTTGCAAAGGTCAAGACTCCGGTCATCGAACCACTGCCTCTTGACGGCATGCCTCCGTGCACAGCGGTTGACGCTTGCCTGTGACGGCTGATGGCGTTAAAATCGTGCATCCGCCGCCGAGTCAGCCGCGGGAAAAACTGACGCAATAAGTTGCTACTTGGCGCGGACGCGTCAAAATTCAGCGTAGCGATTTTTGAGGGGCCATGAAACCTCGTGTTGATGATGATTCGGGTTTTAGGGCGCGCGGACTTCTGAGGCCAATTTGCGTCCATCGGAGCATCGTTGGAACGCTTTCATGGTCATACAGTGCGGAGTGGCAACACTCAAATGCATGATTAATGAAGTGAGACCGACGTTGTGAATGCATTTTCCCTTGTTACGTTCAAACGACGGCCTATGTTCAGTTCTTGCTTGGTTATCACTGAACCTTCCTTTGCATTCCGGAAATTTCAAGCCAGCCAGGCAGTCTCTGCCTCACTTGTATTTCTGTTTGTAGCACCGCTGTCGCAATGCTTCGATGCCTCACACTTCCAGCCTGATTCACAACCCAGTTAGTCGCAGTCACTGCTGTGACATCTCAATAGTGTCAATTATCGCTGAATGAGTTATCTACACATCTAGTCACCACGGTCATCCTCGATCTGCGATCCTTCATTTCGTACACGCGTTATTTCGGCGCTTTTCACTGGTGCACGATTCACGTAAATCGGTGTTCTATATACGAACTCCCAAAATTCATCGTTGCTTTCACTGTAAAGACCGTCCCACCAGCGCAGGTCGCTCGTCAATCCCCTTACCCAGTCGTCAGCATGTGCACTCCTTGCACTCGTACCTGCATGCTGTGCAAGTTTCAGGCTCTCACTACTCTCTGTTTGACTTGCACACGGGTGAGCAAGCAAAACATGACGACCAGACAGACATGCATAAACACAGATGCAAATTTTGGGAGATAGCACATTTATTATATGATAGCAATGGTTGTATAGGTTGAACAATGAGCAAGCGGGGAAATGCCATGCACCTCTATATCATAGGCGACCTCCTTCTGCAGTCTGGGCCTAAATTCAGTTCTAAAGAAGACCGTTCGGTTCTGACAAACACAATAAACTCGATGCAATTGCTTGAAACTGTCGACATGACAGCAAGGTCGGAGAAATACGTCTTTTTAGCTTTTAAGTAACCGGAATTCGACTGACCGGAATCGTTCCAGTGATTTGCTCTTACAATAGGTGCCGATCCTATTTATTTATCTCGCCAGCAGCCTGCGGGAGCGCTTGTGGATCCCGTCATTGAGCTTGAGGTGCGTACGAGCTCTTCGGAGACCCCTGATATTTGGGAAGCGGTCCTCATATTTCGCCGTTCATCCCCATCACAAAAAGGAACCAGTAAAACCCGCCCAAAACGGTCAGGGGCCCAAGCTGGTCCAGGGGACAGGAGACTAGCCAGGCAGGTCAGGAGGCTAGTCAGGTGGGACAGGAGACTTGTCAGCCGGGATAGCAGATCCCAAGGGATATCAGAATGAACTAGAGACACTGCGGTATCTAAGGGCTCTTATGAGATCTAAATGTCCCCATTTCTCCAAACAGCCTCGGAGACGGTTATGACCCACCGAAATGCCAAGACCCCGCGGCGAGAGCAGATTAGGAGCAGTGAAGTGACCGAAACGCTCACTGGACTCTGAGATGGTGGGAGGCGCAGGCCAAACCAAACCAGCAGGGGTCGGTACATTCAGGAGCTGGAGAAGATCGAGGCCACAGTGAACATGCTGAGCTGAAGAGTGGCAGAGGGCTCTGAAGACGGATTCCTTGGAAAATGTACTGCACGTTTCCTGGTTGGAGTATCGTCTACTCATCTGGCGTGGTATCCCAATTCCCTCGCTAGTTTGTGTTCGGTTCCTGGTGCTGTTTCGGGTAGTGATGATCCCAATATATTTTTGTGGGTGTCACTCCACTTATCCTTTGTGGAGAAAACGTGGGCCGGGATTTACTTTCGAATAGGTTGGCAAGAGAGGTGACAATATCTTAAGTTTTTTCCCAAAACAAAGCTTCGCAGTGGTGTAGGAGAGATGATCCAGGCCTGGGCAGGTATGGAACCTAATGAGCAGCTAATGTAGCCCAAAATGGACTGGGCATCCCACCGATCTTACCAAGCGCCACACCTAACTTCTGCGTTACCCCTCACCCCGCCCCGGCCCTTAACCCCCCCCCCCCCCCACACGCACACACCGACTGCGTCCCACCAGCCGTGCCTACTGTCACAACGATCCCCCACCTGTACATGCGTCGGACCGAGCGTCGCGTGGCGCCCTGATAACAGGAGCGGGCCGCAGCTGCGCTGATGGCCAGTGAGCGGTCCGGCGGCGACGTGTGAGCACGTGCCTCGCTGCCTGGCGACGCCTGCAGACGAGAGGGGCCCGCCCACGCTCGGCCAATAGAGCTGCTCGGCTGGGCCCAGAGCCGGGCCGACAGATTGCGGCTCAGTGGTGAGCGCATCCGTCTGATGAGCTGGGACAGCTGAGCGCTGCCGAGCGGTGAGCTGGGAGGACTGAGCGCTGCCGAGCGGTGAGCTGGGAGGACTGAGCGCCGCCGAGCGGTGAGCTGGGAGGCCTGAGCGGTGCCGAGCGGTGAGCTGGAAGAACTGAGCGCTGCCGAGCGGTGAGCTGGGAGAGCTGAGCGCTGACGAGCGGTGAGCTGGGAAGACTGAGCGGTGCCGAGTGGTGAGCTGGGAGAACTGAGCGCTGCCGAGCGGTGAGCTGGGAGGACTGAGCTCTGCTGACGCCGTCGTGATGTCGGTAGACGTTGAAGCGGTGCGCGACCGAGCGCACGGCCTGTGCCGGGACTACCTGCACGGAGCCTGGCAGCTCATCTCAGCCGATGACATGCTCATCAAGCCCATCAGGTGAGGCTCGCGTTCGCGCCACGCGCGCCACGGAAAAAGCTGAGTACGAAGACTTCAGACTCATGGCGAGGCACGGCAATGTAATTAAGGCGTGTTGGTGTTTCTGTGCGGTGTGTAATGGGAGACAATGGATTGGAATGGAATGCCACGCGTTTTCTGGCTTTGAATTGTCGTGAAAAAGTGGGTTTTCCGCCAAGCCACTGACAATTTGACCAGCCCTTGATAGCCAATATAGGCCAAAGGTGAACTCCGCACTTTCTTGCAAGCGTTGTAGTGTGAATTGGGCAAATTCAGACTGGCCTGAACATTGTACTTCCAGTTTTTATAAGCGTGCGTAAGAAAACGACCTGATTAGTCGGCAGAGGGATCTATGTTCCAACTAGCAACCTATAACGCCCTTTCTGGCTGGCTTCTCTGCCCCCAACCTCACCCATCTTCCTGTGAACACTCTTAGCTACACGCATGGTAGAACACTATCTATGATGGGCTATGCCTACATGAGTCACACATCTCGAAATCCAAAGCGATCATTACTGTTCTGTTGAGGAATCGCATGCTTTACGGACGTGAGGGATGGAGACGGTGCAGTAGGGAGGGAACATCTGGTCGTAAAGTCCACTCCAAAAATGTGTCAAAAGAAAGTGAACAAGGAGTGCGATGCAGGGGCAATGGCAATCACGGCAGCACAAATGGCGATAATCATATTACCAAAATACGCTGGCGGACAAAACAGTTCACAGATGTATCGGCCATGCAAAGCCCTCCGCTTTCCCACACGAATCCTCGTTGGTGAAATCGCGCGTCACGTCGCGTAGATCGGAAGACCTCCAGCGTCGTAGATTCAGCTGCTACCCTTATAGTTAATTATTGCATAGCAAACTTTGTTGCATTACTTTGTGCAAAGCTTCAATGAATTTACAAGGCGCATTTAGACTGCGATTTCATCTTTATTATACGTAAAAGTGGCCATTGTTGAGCTGAGTTTGCAAAGAATAGTTTGACTTTTTTAGCGTATCTACGCAGTGGGCGCTGCTACCAGATATCTATTCACCGCCGCACACCGCCTCCAACTGTCAAGTACAGCTTTCCGTAAAACACGCAGTTCATCGACAGGGAGTGTTCAGACACGAGCACGGAACCAAACCCGTTGGACGGGTGTGGGAAGGGGCAATCGTAATGGTACCAGCGTAGGCCAATGTGCCCGGTTTATCTCTTGGCCTTGAGCGCAGACTACGGATCGCGGGTTTTTGAGCATTCATAATGCCAGATCTCAGTACCCTCAGCAGATAAAGATGTGAATCGAAATGCGCAGTGCAGGCAAATTTGCCGTCTACACATCGCCAAATTATGCCAACATTGTCTAACCAGCACATCAGCAATTGACCGCAAAACGACTAGCGTTGCGCTTTTCAAGGTCACTCCCGAATGTATATAGTACGCCTTGAGGCATAAACCAAGAAAGCCCGGGGCATGGCAGCTGGAGAAGTGCGTAGTTAAGTTGGCTGTGACCAATATCCACCTAGAATGTTGACGTCTTCGCAGTACTTTGGTCACGCTGACCGAAAACCTAAGTCATCACAAATCTGTTGATTTCGTGAACGGAAACCGGTGCGAGTCATCTCTATGCTAATGTTTATTGAGAATTTGGCCGTAACGTATGACGCAATTGGATTTTTTACGTTGACGTGAGACTATGAGCAGTATCCAGGATAACGTGTGAGTGGTTATTCTAAACACGTCGCGTGCCTTGTTCAATATTTGATCTTAGCCGATAGGTTTAACGTACCAACTCATTTGTATAGCATTTACGTTTGACGAACCACCAAGTCCTATTTACCTGGCTGTACAGATATCTCTTTAAGGGCAGAGCGATTTTATGTGATATATGGTCTCGACCGACATCGCCAGTCTAGCCAGACCCTACAGCCAGCCAGTATTCAACAACGTAATTTGTGGATTTCCGTGAACGCTACATCAATGAGCACCCCATCACATTATTTTCTCATGGAAGACTTACTTTCCAATGCATTTGTCAAATCGATTTAGATTGCTTCCTAATGGTACGTCTGGCTCCACTAGGTTAAGCTTTTGTATCGCGTACGTGATGACGATTTTGACTGCGAACTATCCCAACTATTGTGAACTATTGCCATCGCGATACACTCCTAAAGCTTTATCGGCCCGGTGCGGCCAATCACGCTCTTAACGGGCTTACGTCCTCGCTGCCATTGATCCGGCCGTGTGCGCACTCTCCGGTAACAAGAGACACGGCTTTCGAAATTATGTTGTAAAATTTCCCACGCATTTGCAAACAAAATGTTGGAGCGGGGGCTGTTTTCCATTCATATGGTAATGCCACCAAAATTTAACCTGCCCGAGCGATCTGGGAGAGTATTGTAACAAAAAAAGAAAAAAAACAGCTTGAGAAAAAAGCTGCACACACGGGAGGAAATCAGGTCCGAATCCGGCCACGCGGTGCTGCAACGGCACGAGACAGCGCCGTTCGGCGGAGGAAAGGATGGAAAATGTATTGGCAAGTGTGGGCCACATGGTGGCTCCGGTCACGCGCGCCTGTGGAAACAATGGATCCGAGGGTTTTGAGGCGATTTTTTTATCGCTGAGGCTAGATTTATAACCAATGCAGCTACAGAAGTGAAACCAATGCAGTCACAGAAGGGAAACCAACTGCAAGTTACAGACTGGTGCTTCGCTGAGCAATCTCAACGCTGTCTAACCGGCGGGGGCGTCAGTGGTAGAAAGCTAAACGAGCGATGTCACATTTCTCACCTCCGCTCTATTACATAAAATGTAGCATAAACAAGGGGGTCTGGTCATTTAATTGGATCAGGCTCTGAAACCGAATTCCAATAGATTAGGTTTTGATATCACTTGTGTACCAATCCCATTTATTACCACCTTGCTAGTCCCATGCCGTACAGCGTGTGTCATTGTTATTTATGACGTCAATTACCACTTCCGATGCAAGTTGACCAGCCGAATGTGGCGAGGGACGCTGCTACACTATGAATGCGTGATCTGTCTGACGGTTTACACCGAGGCAAGCAAACGTTTGCTTTATGATGAGAGCGTTGGTAGACCATCGAAAACAATAAACACTGAAACCCTATTCTCACTCAAGCACCAAGTATTTCTAACGCATGCATACCAGCTGATGGCTGTGAACAGGACTGCGATAAAAGGTACACCTAGCCTGTCACTGGAGCCTATGTCATGCACGTTTTGTGATTATCTGTTCCGAGATATCCTTGCACTCAGTCACATCCAGATCTGGCTGGCACGGGTCGGCGCAGCGCAGCCAGAGAGTGTCGGGCACCAGCCGATGCCGAGTCTCATGGTTGAGCGTCGGTACAGGTGCAGTGTTTTGTTGCAACCCGCCATGATCGATGTGGTAGAATGCGACACTGAATGGCCAAAAAAGTCGAAAGCTTAGTAAAATAGCTTAGGCAGCATGTTGTCTTTCACGGCCGGAGTATTTCTGATATTTTCATCATGCTAACTGACTGGTTTTTACAACGTACACGGAGTTATGCTTCGTATTAATGATTGATATCACTCAGAATTACATGATTTGAATTGCATTAACTACACTCCTATCTGGTGCAAACCCACAAAATAATATAAGAACCCTCACGATAGCGTCAGGGATCTTACCATTGAACTTTTGGTTATTCAACAACCGTAGTTTATATCTCGGTGTCACTCCCATTACACACACGCGACACGTATCTTTAAGCTTTCCCCGCCCAAAGACAGTAAAACACCCACGTATGCCCTTCAATGCACGGAGGGCAAACGGCAATGCAGCAACATCTCGGCAATGAAAAAGGGCCTGCGCAACACATTCGCTTGACATGCAAAGGAACGTATATTTTTCCAGTCAGGCCGACAGTATGTGTCCCATAAACCAGACGTGAAAAACGCACAATTACTTAGGATGAATGGCGGCAGTTAATTGTGCGCAGGTCCACAAAGAGCGTCAACAGTCCTGGGCAATGTGCGGCCCACCGAAAACAGATAGTTGCATAACATCCGACTATTCCATTCTTACATTCTCGCAAACTTGATGGAATACTTCAATGTTTGGAAAGAAAAGCACTGCGTTTCTACCAGAGCGCCATGTAAATGCCACACTTATGCGAATAAAAATAATATCCGTGTCATGACGAAGTGATATTTAAGGTGAGGGGTGGTCTATTGATTTGTATTGTTCTGTGGCACGAACAATGATTCTGAAATCCCAGTGTCAGGGCTGGCCACTGGACACAGTACGAATGTGCTTATCGGACATCGTGTACGTAAATGGCAACGAATGGGAGAAACAGGATTATAATGCTTTGCAAGTCATTTTAGGTACCGATGCGGCAAACAAATACCCACGCGCTCAGAATCCAAAGCTCATTTTCCCATTCGCTCATTGCAAGACAAAGTGCATTAAGCGACGGAAGGAAGGTACCTGCGTGCACGCAAGTCATCAAAAAGGGAACAGCAACAGCTGAATACAACGCGACAATAAGTCCGACAATCAGCGGTCAACATATTACAACGAGCGAGAAGGTGGCGTGATAAAATGCGAGCAAGATAATAAGGCTGTCTGGCGATACTAGCATGCCTGTCCACAATAATGATTTTGTAGGCACTCGACCTTCCACTCACCTTGTGCCTCACAGGTCTGGAACAAGTTGTTGTAGTTGTCTTGGATTTTTTGCTTGAATGAGACAGCCGGTTGCTCGTCATTAGTGTTTGTTTCTCTCCACCGGTACCGAATATCAATTTGGTCTTGGCATTGATCTATGATATTCGTATGAAGGCGGGAGGATGCTTGATCATCTGTTTACGGTACCTCATAGATCTAAACCGGCATATCTACCTAGGATGATGTAATCTTTAGGAAATCGGGAGGGTATAGCCGCTCCCCAATCAATTGCTGGTCTGTCACAAAATAAGACGGCTCAAAAGGTAGCATTTGTATGGTGAGAGCTCCCGCAGAGCATTACAGCACCAGGATGATAAAGTTTTAGAGATGTGGCAACTCGATTGAAACGCTGCGTGCCTTTCAGTTAAGCTCCCAGGAACATGTACTTTTGTGTGCGCCGGTTGATCCTAGGAGATGCGTTGTAGAGACGCACGCATAGGAATATGCATAAATATAACATTCCAAGGAAAGCGTCTCACCCATCACGAAACATGGTGGATTTGGCGGATAATACTTACAGAAAACAGCTACATCCTGCGAAAAAGTCCATTATTCTTGCATTGCATACCGCATTGGTTAGCACAGGCAGTCGTGCTTCCGTAATTTGCTGTAAAGGAACGAATATAAATACCGGGTGTGCTCGGGTACCTGTGCGCCTTCTCGTGTTCTGACTGTGCGCCAGCTCATGATCTGACTGTACGCATGCTCGTGGCCTGACTGTGCGCATGCTCATGATCTCACAGCGCGCTTGCTCGTGATCTGACTGTGCGCCTGCCCGTGATCTGACTGTGCGCCTGCTCACGATCTCACAGCGCGCTTGCTCGTGATCTGACAGTGCGCCTGCTCGTAATCTGACAGTGTGCCTGCTCGTGATCTCACTCTGCGCCTGCTCGTGGTCTCACAGCGCGCCTGCTCGTGATCTGACAGTGCGCCCGCTCGTGATCTCACTCTGCGTCTGCTTGTGATCTCACAGTGCGCCTGCTCGTGATCTGACTGTGCGCCCGCTCGTGATTTGACAGTGCGCCTGCTCGTAATCTGACTGTGCGCCTGCTCGTGATCTGACTGTGCGCCCGCTCATGATCTCACAGCGCGCTTGCTCGCGATCTGACAGTGCGTCTGCTCGTAATCTGACAGTGCGCCTGCTCATTATCTCACTCTGCGCGTGCTCGTCATCTCACAGCGCGCCTGCTCATAATCTGACAGTGCGTCTGCTCGTGATCTGTCTGTGCGCTTGCTCGTCATCTGACAGTGCGCCTGCTCGTGATCTGACAGTGCGCCCGCTCATGATCTGACAGTGCGCCTGCTGCTGGTCTGACAGTGCGCTTGCTTGTGATCTGACTGTGCGCCTGTCCGTGATCTGACAGTGCGCCCGCTCGTGATCTGACAGTGTGCCTGCTTGTGATCTGACAGTGCGCCTGCTCGTGATCTCACAGCGCGCTTGCTCGTAATCTGACTGTGCGCCTGCTCGTAATCTGACTGTGCGCCTGCTCATGATCTCACTCTGAGCCGGCTCGTAATCTTACAGTGCGCCTGCTCGTGTAAAGGTGTCCTCACCCACGGACGACGTCTCACGAGCTCTCGGTGGGTGTGTTGCAGTGGCGGCCTGAGCAACGTGCTGTTCCTGTGCGAGCTGCCGCAGCGTCAGTCGTCGCTGGCCGACGAGCCGACCCGGGTACTGCTGCGGATGTACGGACAGGTACGGACGCGCGGCCGACCATCCGGGTGTGTGTGCACAAGACGGGAGATCTGAGCGTCAGTGCGATGTCCAGTACTCATCATGCTATGTTTGGTGGTCAGCTATCATCAGTTGCCGTGTGACGTGCAGAAAACACGCATTAGAGATCGGCGCACGGCGAGTTTTGATCCGGCTCAGTACGTGGGAACGACGCACCTTTGCCAGAGCTCAGCGTCCAACAGTGTCACTTGGGTGGACAACGCTATCCAAGAGTGTATCTGCGCCATCGGCGACCCATCCGAGGGGAGCGATCAACTTTGTTGAAACATCACTCGACGATATCTTATCTGGTGTGGGGCGGCACATGGGGGCCGCGCTGAACTCCGGGTCACAAGGACGTTCATCTATGGCACCCTCTTGAACTGTCTGAATCTGTTCACAGCTAATATCCTCAGGCCACACATGACACATATCGCAGGAACAGAGGGTTAATGGCTTGGTAATTGTACCCAGGGTAACCCGAAAGTAACGGCGCTCGCTTTGTTGTCATTTCACTTCTGCTTGGGCATAACATTTCAAAGGTATCACATGTAGTCGTAAGCTTAACGCTAAAACGTGACACTACTTCAGAGAAATGTGCCCCACCAGCGAAGCACGATGGAGATCTCAGTTCACCCAGATCACTTGTCGGTATGTGACAGCAGTGTGGCGTGCCCCAGGTGCAGGAGGGAAGTCATGAGTCCATCACCGAGTCGGTGATCTTCACGCTGCTAGCGGAGCGGAGGCTGGGACCCAAGCTGTACGGCATCTTTCCTGGCGGCCGGCTCGAGGAGTTCATACAGGTGATCTGGCGGCGGGCCCGAGGGGTACATACAGGTGATCTGGCGGCGGGCCCGAGGGGTACATACAGGTGACCTGGCGGTGGGCTCGAGGAGTACATACAGGTGATCTGGCGGCCGGCTCGAGGAGCACATACAGGTGATCTGGCGGCCGGCTCGAGGAGTACATACAGGTGACCTGGCGGCCGGCTCGAGGAGTACATACAGGTGACCTGGCGGCCGGCTCGAGGAGTACATACAGGTGACCTGGCGGCGGGCTGAGGAGAACATAAGGATGAACTGGCAGCTGGCTCAAAGAGTACATACAGGTGACCCATTCGACGCCGGCAGTCACCCGAGCTACTTTAGGAGAATCCGTGCGCTCGTCGGGAAGGCTGACCTGAGACCGCAGTCGCTGCATCGTAAACGCAGCTGCTGGAGCTGTGTTGAGAGCAGCACATCTGTAATGTTTATTCACAGCTGGCGCGCCAGCCAGACCTACAGCCGGCCGTTCAGTGAGAGCGCTTTCGGACTCATTTCTTCCACGTATTTGCATTCGCGCCGAGATAAGATGAACGCAGGCAGTGAAGCCAGGAATGGGCAATTCCCCTGGCCTCGGACTGGTCACATTCCCTGAGCAACGTACTGGAGACAAGCCATTGGAGTCACCCGTGTTAACTCGTCACACGGACGATACGTTTCCCTCTCGAACGTTCACCTCGAGTAGTCATCTGCGACCTCGGACCCAGCGAACTGGACGCTTTCATACCAGCTAGGGATGGCAGCCCGGAATGCACCAGGACTGATGTGTTTTCGAGACCATCCCAGACGTAGCAAACAGCTCACCACCGTGTCGGACGCTCAGGATCTTTTGGCTGGGTGGGGCCGGGAAGGGAGGCGCATACTGTCGCGCCGACTCCAGACCAGTGGGCGGCAGCCCTGCGTGAGCAGCAGCGCCGAGACAGTGAAGTCATATATTTCCACGGCGGAAGTTTACTTCAGGATGGTATGCTCGTGTATGCAGCCACGCATGCCACCCCGAGCCCGGCAACGCCTCCGAAAAACTGTGACGAAGCGGGGCATCTGGCATCCTGCTTGTCAACCCAATAAAGTTGTTCTTCCGAAGCAGCAATGACTAGCTTCTTTGTTGCCCTGGAAGAGCGAGACCCTGACGTGGCGCTGCAGCCAGATCAGTTTCTCAGCATGCGGTCAAGAAGACTGATGTGTGGCTCTGATCCACAAACATCCAGGGAGGCTCATGCGTTTCTGACGGCGCTCCACGAGGCACCTACGTCGTTCAGGCGGGCTCAATGTTTCTGCCAACTGCGCATGACTTACAGCAGGGTAGTCACCATCGGACATTGGCACGTCCGGCTTGACGAACAGCAGGCGGTCTGGATATTACACGCTCCTGCTGTCGTATGGTTTTGACTAGCGCAGATAAGCGACGCTTAGCGTTTGATCACTGCCGGTTCTATCACCAGCTGATATACGCGGTTCAAGTGCACCCGGAATGAGCATGGTCTACACTTCGTTCGTCAAACATTCGACAAAAGTCTAAGTGACGTAAACCACACGTACCTTATCAGATAGGTATGCCAATTATTATAGGTGTGCAAAATGTATTACGTATCGTTAAGTCACACTAGATATTGTCAGCGGAAGATTTACACCTAAGTTTGACAAAGTTTCTTCGTTTCTTCCACAGGCTTCGTCACTATCCTACAGCGAACTTCGGGATCCACGAATCAGCCAGCAGATTGCCCAGAAAATGACTACGGTGCACTCTCTCAGGGTGCCAATCTGCAAGGAGCCCACTTTCATGTGGCAGACGATGAAAAAGTGAGTGGTGTTACCAGCATATAGCCCTGGATTTCGGCCCACGGATTGGAACGTGACAATCCGCTGCGCTTAAGCATATCAATGTGCGTAGCCGTCATCCCGAACACTCAGCAGAACTCAGACTGTAGCTCGTAGCAGCGCACGAATATTAAGTGTGCAACATGCTAGAGGAAAGCAGTGGACATCTTTATGGGTATAGAAGACCCAGCACGGGTCGTTTTCGAACATCGCAGCGCCATTCTCACCATGCGATGACGGATGTCCTCGCAACCGGTCCATGCAGAAGCCCGAGGCCCCCCATGCGTGACGACACAAATAAATACACTGCGACATCGGGCTCGCAACTCTCGTCATACATCAGCACGCCGTGCATACATATGCGAGCGGTGATAAATGAATGTAAACGCCTCCGTATAAACATGACGTTCATTTTACACGCGTTCGTATATGCAGACAAGATCAAATGTGGCGTAGCTTCGCACAGTTCATGGCATGCACCGGCTGGCTCCCCTGGTGAGTTAATGATGATCACCCCTACAGGCGATCATCTGTGGATCATCTGGTGATCCACTCCGCCGCTGTGTTCTTCCAGGTGGATTCACTTGGTTAATGACTACTTGAAGGACACTACGTCGGTGGAACACCGAGACAAAGCGGACATCATCGAGGCCTTGCGACTCTGCGTCTTCGAGGACGAGGTGGACTGGCTCAAGTGAGGACAGATTAAAAACCATTGCTGTAGCCCGCGCGTTCCTGGCGTTAGCTTCTGTTCTTTTGCAAGTCGGTCGATAAACAAATGTAACGAGCAGTCGGGCCGGAACATAGGCCCAAATGCCTGCAGAGCTAGGGGGTGAGATTTTGGTCCGAGTAGACGCCAAGACTGGGTTAAAGTTTCCAGCCGGTTGAGGTCGGGTGCAGATGGAGGAGGATGAGGAGGAGGAGGAGGAGAAGGAGGAGGAGGAGGAGGAGGAGGAGGAGGAGGAGGAGGAGGAGGAGGAGGAGGAGGAGGAGGAGGAGGAGGAGGAGGAGGAGGAGGAGGAGGAGGAGGAGGAGGAGGAGGAGGAGGAGGAGGAGGAGGAGGAGGAGGAGGAGGAGGAGGAGGAGGAGGAGGAGGAGGAGGAGGAGGAGGAGGAGGAGGAGGAGGAGGAGGAGGAGGAGGAGGAGGAGGAGGAGGAGGAGGGTTCACTCCAGATGCCGTTTATCATGCCTGGTCACGTCCCGGAAGTTTGCACCGGCCCTTTCAATTCTGAATACAAATAGTTCAGTGAGTCTGTTTAGACTTGGGTCAGTTGCAAGGGTAACTTTAATCACACAGCTATACAGCACTCATTCGACGCCGCTGGCTGATGCAGCAAGCTACGCCTGCGCACCGTGTGAGTGACACGCCGGTTTAAGATAGCGGCCGGAGAGCGCAGCCTCTCAGGAGAGGCGCCCGGGCCGAACTTCGGTCACGCTGGCGGGCTTCGCACTTTGCCCCGGCCGCCCGGCATCCGCTGCGTGCGCGGGCGCAGGGCGTGCTATCTGGCACGGACGGAGTGGACTGTCCACGTGCCAGCCCGCAGCCTGGAGGCCGGCGAACGAGACCCGGGGGTGCTGGGACACAGGCCCGCTTTAACGGGCTTGGATCTGCCTGACAAGTATTCCAGTTTTTTACAACAGGCAGAACGTTTTCGATTAGAAGCCAGGTTTGCAAGCCAAAGGAATCCCGAACATCTGGAATGCTGTTTCTTTTGCGCTTTGTATTCGGCCGTCACGCTGTGACCTATGTCCTCAGACCTGTTATAACCAGGTTATATGCCGCTACATCGTACTGTCCTGTCAATGCATTGAGCCTGAGTTAAAACCAAAGTTTGGACAAAAATGCAAGGTGCAGACTGCAGAGAGCACTCTTTAAAACGTGGAAAATACCCACATGGATAGCGACAGCATGCCCGCAACTCGAGACATGTAATTCAAGAACAGTGTTCGGGTAAACTCAATCCTTTCAACTAAAGGCTGCGTGAACAATACCCGAGCAACGCGTACAGCATACATTCCACACAGGATAAAACGGATCCACAAAGCAACACTAAAGGACACAGAGCCGTGTGCATGATTACGCAGTGATACACACACTGAAACACAGCTCGGCAAGTCAGTTCGGGTCCCAACAGGTGCACGCGTTCAAAATTTGAAACTGCATTATTGGTCAAACGACTCGTTGCATAGCAAAAGAAGAAAAACAGCATCGCGGCTTAACCAGAGCGATAGACTGACTCTGACACATAGACATACCATGGTATGGTCTCTGTCCAGGCGAATGAAAACTCTAGAAGCGCATTCTGCTCTGGTATCACGCGCCACCAGTGTGATGGTGAGCAGCCCCTCGCAGGTCAGCCAGTGGTCTCGCTTCACACAGGTGCTCCCCTGGGATCTGAGCCTCCTCAGTTGTTCCCACTTTTGCACCGCGCCGAAAGTGATGCAGTTCGCAGGGAAGGCATGATCACACGAACACTGGAGCACCATTAGCTGCTCTCTGTTCGGAAGCAGTGTCATTGCTGCGGATTCTGAGACGTCTGGTCTCTCCTCTGCAGACGCCTCTTCGCCAGGGCGCCGTCGCCGGTGGTCTTCTGCCACAACGACTGCCAGGAGGGCAACATCCTGAGACCGAACGGCGGCCGGCCCGGCCAGCACCAGCTCACGCTGATTGACTTCGAGTACTGCAGCTACGGCTACCGCGGCTTCGACGTGGCCAACCACTTCTGCGAGTGGCTGTACGACTACGCGATCGACGAGTATCCCCATTTCAGCGAACACCCAGAGAACTGGCCGACGGAGCAGGAGCAGGTGAGATGTTTGTCATGTACCCATGGGATTCCGACAAGACATAATAGGTGGAATCTTTCTGTACATGCACATCAGACATAATAAAACACTTCTACACAATTAACGAGCGCCAAAAATCATGCGTGCCGCGATGATTCACACCGAGCCTCCACGATCGGCACAGTCCGGCACGCGAAGCCCCGCCATCATGTGATGTTTACGCCGGCCGGGACTGCGCACACCCTCCGGGAGTTTCCACGGCGCGGCAGGGGCGCACACTGGCGATACGTCCGAAGCCCTGTGTACGGGCAGACAGCTGTGGCGTCGAGGGGTATTCCGCCCGCTGACACATATGACGCATATGCGATCTTAGGCAGCAGGCAGCGACCGGGCCGCAAAACTACAGCTTAAATGTCGCGCAGGACGTAAATATTTTACTGCTGTCACACTTGCGTGAGGATGATTCACTTCCGCCACAAACGGCATGAGAGATACTTAAGCTAGTGACCGTAACAGCTGACTGCGTCGCTACCCACTCGATCGGTGAACGGGAGCATTCTGAGCCATCTACTACATGACTGACCCTCACGTGAACACGCAATTAGTGTCTGATCGTTGATATAGCCGCGGACCAGGTACAAGGCAGCAGGCTGCGACAGCTGCGGGGGTGGCAGCACAGTCAGTCAGCGGCTCGACCGCTGGAACATGCTGCCGGACTCCTGGACAGCCCCGCCTGTCTCGTGGCTGTCGGAAACGCGCCTGCGCCGGCGCGTGCCGTGCCGCGCGCCTGCCGCCGGCGGCAGCCACCCAGCGACGACAGGCCGGCCCGGGCTGGACACACCCCCAGCGTGTTTACTGACGCTCCAGCACTGCGGCTTCGGCGGTGCTAAACACAGACCGACGTCAATGTGGCGGAGATCCTGCAACGCTCTAAATCACCTCAGCGACGAGAAACAGACGACGTGCTCGGCGGATGTATGCCGCGATATGACCGTCGCGCTGCAGGCCAAGATCTATCGTGCTAATGACCGGCAGCACATAGCTGCGGCGCATTACACGCTCGGCGCTGTCAAGCTCCCGATGCAAGATGATCGCGAGATGCAGTAGGTCAGATATGATGTTAATGAGGAGCGGTAAGCTCAGATCTCCTCCTTTCAGCCTAAAACAGACACGCGTGCCATTCAGGCAAACGGGCGCAGACGTCCAATGGGGTCGCGTGTATCTGCTGCGGTTGTGGATGGTGTGCTCGACACGTTCTCGATGAGCGAACGCAAGGTATGCCCGCGTTTGCTCTTCGAGGACGTGTAGAGCACTATCCAGAGGTACGATTGCATCGTCCAGCCGGCAGATGGAGCCAAAAGCCTCCCTCTGCAGCCATAGCCAGGGCTTGCAGACACACCGCAGCCGACGCTGACTGCGGCGTTCGTAACCGGCTCAGCTGCTTGGCCGTCTGGAGCACACGACCGCGGGTGTCACGCACCTCGGGGGTGTTCCTGTTCAGCCGACTGTGCCTGTACTGTGCTGCCGCCTGTACTGTGCCGCCTGTACTGCGCCGAGTGTCTGACCGGGACGTGAGAAAGTCTACAGTCGGGATCTGCGCAAAAAAACTCTAGCTGGTCCCGAACTCGTCGCACAAGTGCACCAAGACACGGAGAGTGCGACGGGTGCTACCGAGGCGACCGCATCTAGGGAAGGCGTTCTTTGCTGTAGACGGGGGCGCGGCCTATCGTGAGCAATGTTTCTCGCCCGCTCTGTTTCTGCTCGGGGACTTTAAAGGGATTCGAGCCCGCGCGATGCTATCGGACTCAGACTAGCGTTTTTGGTCATACAACACTATGTAAAATCAGTGCCAGAAAGTATTTGGTGTCAAAAGATCGGCTATTAATTTACCCACAGCTATTCCAAATTTCACCCGGCTACGAAGCGCCGTTCAGAAACTATTTCGTAAAAAACATTCTGGGTTAAATTGACCCTCACCCGAGCGCGTGCTAACGACTTCGCATCATTGTACTTTCTCATAGCATTGGGCACCTACTAGACATTAATGGCGTGGCCAACCTAATAGTTTTTGCCCTCAAACAACCCAAGACGACCGTAAGCAGCACTACTACTGCATCTTGCCCGGTGCGCCAATAACAAATCTAACCCCGTGGCATTCACGCCTTCAGTACGGCGATTGATGACAGATGTCTTTCTGGTGGCAGCTGCGCTTCATTCGTGCTTACCTCCGGCACCGCAACAACACGGCGGAGGAGCGAACACCTCCAGCCGAAAACGGCGACGAGAAGACGTACAGCGCAGAGGAGGTGGAGGAGCAGAGGATGCTGGACGAGGTCAAAGTCTACTGCCTCGCCTCCCACCTGTTCTGGACGCTCTGGAGCGTGGTCAACGCCCACGTCTCTGCCATCTCGTTCGGCTACTGGGTGAGCACCTCGCTCAGGAACCGGTGTGTAAAGGCCGATCAATCGGAGGCCGTCCAACGGATTCTCCGTTAGAACTAGTTTTTGTGCACTCGCTAGCAGCCACACAACGTAGCCAGCCAGTGAGCGTTTCGCTGTTTCTACCGACGGCAGACGCCGCCTGCACGGCTGATGACGGCGGGAGACGGAGGTTGATGAGTTGTGTGACCATTCGCTCCCTCCCTGCTGCAGGAGTACGCCTTCTGCCGGCTGAGGGCTTACCAGACACAGAAGCAGCTCCTGATGAAGGCCGACCCGAGGTGCCCCAAGATGACGGACGGCGGCAAGCGCCGGCCCACGCACATCGAGTAGAGGGCAGCACCTCGGCGGGGTTTGCAGTTGATGGAGGTGGACCAAGTAGAGGGCGGCACCTGACCTCCGTTCGCTACCACCAGGAGCGGAGCTGGACCAAGTAGAGGACGGCACCTGACCTCCGTTCGCTACCGCCGGGAGCGGAGGTGGACCAAGTAGAGGGCGGCATCTGACCTCCGTTCGTTGCCGCCGGAAGCGGACCCGAGTGGAGTGCATCTCGCCTGTAAAGCATGTTCCTTCCGGAGCGCCGGGCGCTCATCGTCTGCCGCTCATCCTACCAGCCAATCGAATCAGAGGCAAGCACAGAAGTTGGCTGTGAGGTTCCACAGCGCTGGCAGACCGAAAGTCGGCAGATGTCACCGCGCGGAACACCGGCCCGGCATTCCACCATTCACCGCTTGCCCTGCACGCTCGCATCATCCCGTCTGGGAAGCGGCTGAGTCAGCAGCCGTCCCCCGTGTCAGCCCCACGGCCGCTGTGGCGCGATTCCGCCCGAGTATCGGCACAAACCCCGATGGTGAGCTCCTGTGAGGGACAACACCCGGTAGCGGCGGCCACACACTGGCAGCAGTATTGCACGCCTCTTGCCTCCAGCCTGAACCCGCAGCTTTCAACTGGTTCGTTCCGGTAGAAGGGGCTCTAACCTAGTAAAACAAACCCTGCCTAAGCGCCTCGACAAGTTAGCTCAATGGCGTTGAAGGACTCACGCCTCTCGAGCACACTATTGCTCATCGGTGTACATCGACTCTGCTAAGGCAGAGTCGGAGTAGGCACCGCTGCCACCACGGCGAATGCAGTTTCTCGCGCCGAGGGCACTCGCAGTGCCTTACCTGCCTTACCCGTCACCTTAGTGCCCTACCCTCGTCCACCACGAAGACCCCATATAGCTTCCACGCGTGAAGAAGATGGACGCATCGCATGCAGCTAGTAGTGCGCCTTCTGACAGCGAACTGGCATCGGTGTTACTGTTATCAAATGTACGTAGAAAATTTACAGAAGCGCCTTCAATGAGAGTAGACAGCGGGTAGAGTTGCCTCAACACACAGCGATATTATGTTTGCACGTAGTACGAGGCAATAATCAGTTTGATGGCTTGATTTTGACACCTGCTTCATGGCATGAAGATTGCCGTGCCCGGAAGTGCTCATAATGCGACGTTAGTACATGTATCTAAGAATCAATGTATGAGATATAAAGGAAGAGGAGTAATCGCTCAAAACGACATACAAGTATTGAATATAACACGAGTGTTTTAATATATATCTACACCATATTCAACGTCGGGGATGTGCTTGCCACGCCAGAAGGCAACTACCCTAAAGTGGAAGGGCTTTACTTGTCGACTGAGACATTGACGTTGGAACGGGGGACGACCAGTTACATGCCACGCAATCGTTATATGCCAGCAGGGTTGGAACATCGAAAAGCATTAGGGGAGGGGCAAAACCCGCATTTGGAAGGAATGCGTTCGGTATTTCTCCTGGGCCTCCTCTATACTGCTCCTAGCATTGGGGTCGGCGTGATGCTGGAGGGTGCTTAACGTTTGGAGGCCAAGCCCCATTACAAATATTAAATGTTGCCTATGTATACGATATAACACATCCAAAACTGCACGCGCAATGTTATCGCGGTGCCTTCAAGCGTGGACGGCCTTCATGAGCCTCACACTCGGACCATGTCACACGAACCAGCATGCTTCCGGAAGTCGAGACACCGCCAGTGGCAGAACAAGGGGTGCGCAGTGCGCGACGGTGGTGCGTCATAGCGTCAGACGTGTAGATAAGTGCCGCTGCCAGCGGTGGAGTGAGGCGGGATCTAGACTTTTCAGTCGAGTACGGATCGATGCATTGCAACACGCCGGCTCTTCCTTCGGCCGGTACAATCGAAACAAAGGATTTGGTCGTCGCATGAACAGACTTCGATCACAGCTGCGCCACCCGTCCGCCCAAAACACACACAGGTTTCGGTAAAAGTCGGTGATGAGAGAAATCGGTGCCCAATCAGCAGCGCTACAGAACAGGCCTTTTGCGCTGCACGGGACGCGACAGCCCATCCGAAATGGTGAGACGACAACACGTTAGCCCGGGCCTCTTCCAGGATAGGCACGCGGCTGATCAGTCACCGATGCGCGACCTGGCGGAACACAGCGAAACACACCTCTCGACCGTACACCGCTGTAACAAGCACTCCTTCCTGATGAAAATGGTAGCACGCGGACGCCGGCAGCAGAGGCACATGCAGCACTGACCGGCTGATGAGCTTTACGTAGTGAAAAGTGCGTATGAGTCGCAACAGTGTAGAAGCGTCCTGCAACGCGATGGCGCGGACTCGGAACTTGTGTGATCCACGGTGGGTAGCTGCTGCCAATGGCGGATCCACATTAGATGTGGCCACAGATGCGTGGGGAAATGACTTGGAGAACACGTGACTCAGGACAGGACATGGAAACGCAAGCGCCGTACCTAACCAAACCATAACTACCAAAGAAGTGACATCTGGCAAAATACCATGCCAGTACCGTGGCTCGGGTTGGTTGCTATGCTACCAACATTACGCATTAACAAAACAATACCAAGAAAATATGTATTTCGTGATTATAAAAAGGCACGCACAACTCATGTAGGAATCTCGTTATCAGCTCGATGTCAAAATGGCGCCACAAATTTGCCGACAGCGTATCAGTACAAAAATATTGCAGTTATTCTTCTACTGGCGATCCCACAGCACGTGATGCCTTGACTAGTAAGCTTACAAATCACGTGGTCCCGAACCCGAGGTTTTCAAGCGAAGCCCCTGTTAGAAGCATCCATGGCACGGCGTGGCTTGGGCAACGGACTGATCAGTCGATCAGTTCCACACAAGTCTACTAAATGCTAGCGGACCGCACAAAAATGTGGCAGCGCGCGGTTCTACCGTATGTCTGCTGACCTAGCTGTCGGCAGAACGGACCCTGCGCCTCACGCGTAGGAAACCTGTCTATCCGAACGACCTCCGACCTACTGGAACTCTGCAGCAACGTGCAGAATGACTTGCCTATACGGGGACGGATCCAGCAGCAAAGGCAGCGGCTCGGACACAGCACGCGATCTGACCGACAGGTGCAGCGCACAACCAGCAGAGACCGGATCCCCTGACTCCCATAATTGTGATATGAGACAGACACCCGTCAACATGTGCACTTCACGAGCGCTCATGTCCAGTTCAAACCAAACCAGCACAATGGTGCAGTAATGTCACGGAAAGGATCATGGTTCCGTTACACACGTGCCGCACTGGAACATGCTACATATGACTACAGCACAGAAGCGCAACGCAAGCGATGCAAGCGGCTCTGACGATGCTCTTCCCTTTGCTGCCGGCCACGCACACTGTTTACCACAGTGGGTCACACAGTTCTCTTGTCTCGCATCATTCCGCAGAAATGCCACATCTTGGGCATGTCGCACACCAACCGGTGCGTGACTTCCATCTAGAGAGACCTGTAATTTGGGCGCGTTGTCCTATTACCTGGTCCCGTCTCATCAGCCACCCCGATGCACCAGGCCTCAGAGACAGAAAGAATTCGCGCAGAAAAAGCTCCCTCCTAGCCAACACACTTCCACAGTTCTTAAGACCACAGTGCGCACGGATACTGAACGGCTGTCCACTGCGTTTCACCAAGCGCCGCTCTTCTTCGCGCGGCCGCCCGGTGCCGCGGCCCGCTGCAGCGGCGGGGGGTCCAAGGCAGCGGCACTGGGAGGGGGCGCCCGGGCGGCCCCGGTACCCGCGCCGTCACAGCTGGGGCAGCTCGGAGACGTCCACGTCCACGTAGACCAGCGGGAACTGGCCGGAGCGCTGGCGCCGCGTGCCGTAGCCCCAGTCGTCGTTGAGCTTGCCCATCACTAGCACCAGGTCGCCGGCCTGGGGCGGGGCCGACGGGTCAGGCGACAGGCTGGCACCACGAGACCCGCAACGAGAGGGGGGGGGGGGGCACGAGGAAGTCGAGCTCGGTACCAGGCTGGCCGAGGAGTTACTGGTGTCAGCACCAGGTCACTGGCACTGGCAACACGTAACTCGAGACAAGGAGAGGGAATTCCGCACCGCCATCCAAGTACGGCGCCTGGAGCGGATACTATGCCATCGGCACATGCTGTTGGCAACAGCAACGCGCCACCGCACAGAAAGCAGACTCCGGCGATAGCTAGATCACTGCAAGGTCAAGGCTACGTGAAGTCATAACAGCCACGGAGTCGGATGCCACCGACGAGAACATAAACCGACGACAAGATCGCGTTGACCCGGCGCCGGTCGGCGACCGCCGAAGCGCGAGCTCAAGTGACACCCAAGCAACGGCTAACCACCAGTGGGAACGGGCCGAGACCAGCCCACGCCCGACAGACGCCGGTGTGGCTCTACTGGAAATCGGAGAGAGCCGCTGCTTTGCCGCACAGGCTGGTGGTAGGCTGGACACGGAAAAGGTCGTCCCAAGACGATCACAGGCCAACGGTTCGGATACGGTGATGGAGACGATCCGACACCGGCGGACCGGATACGGCGGTGGATACGATCAGAGACGAAAGGTCCGGATACGGTGATGGAGACGATCCGACACCAGCGGACCGGATACGGTGGTGGATACGACCAGAGACGAAAGGTCCGGATACGGTGATGGAGACGATCCGGCACCGGCGGACCGGATACGGTGGCGGATACGATCAGAGACATGAGGTCCGGATACGGTGATGGAGACGATCCGACACCGGCGGACCGGATACGGTGGCGGATGCGATCAGAGACATGAGGTCCGGATACGGTGATGGAGACGATCCGACACCGACGGACCGGATACAGTGGTGGATACGATCAGCGACGGACGGATCGGCAACCGTGGTGGAGCCGATCTGACACCGACGGATCGGATATGGCGGTGGAGACGATCGGCGACTGACGGATCGGATACTGTGGTGGAGACGATCAGAGACCGTCAGACCGGATTCGGCGGCTAGACGCCACCGACTGCCCACCTTGAATCCGAGGTCGTACTGCTCTTCGGCGGTGAAGTCGTACAGGGCCATGGCGCGCGTGCCGCCCTGACAAGCCTCCCTGCTGACGGCCGGCGGCGTGAGCGGCCCCCACCAGCGGGGTCACCACCTGCACGTAGACGGCCGGCACGAGGCCCTGCCGGCCGCCGCGGCTGCCCACCAGCCAGTCCGCGTCCAGGCGACCCACCAGCCGGAGAGAGTCTCCCGCCTGCGACGGCCGGGACGTCAGAGCGCTCAGCACACCGTTGCTGGGAGCCGGCGGCCGCCGCGAGACGGTCCACGGAGCGAGGCTGGGGTCGAGGTTAGAACCGAGGTAGACCAGTCCCAGACAACATGAGCGCGTCCCCGCTGAAGGTCACAGCACTACCGCCGTGAATGCACTCGCGGGGGATTTTGCAAACCGACTACACATGCAGTCGGAAAAACCTTTGTCGAGAGTGTCATCGAAGTACCAAAGTGTCGGAGTGTCAGTGGTGTCTCTGCAATTCGTTCAATAACGAGTTACCTCGAGGCTGAGATCGGCGGGTTGATCAGAGTGGAAGTCGTACAGGGCGATCGCCTAGGAGGCCAGATTGTACCGAAAAGAGGAACAAATCAAGTCTTAATGGTCGCATAGTGCACGGGCATTTCAGCACAGACCGCAAATGACCACGACCACACAAAAGGATACTTCTGAAAACGAAAGGGTCCCTCGCTCCCTCGCATAAAAACCCACGCCTTTCCGAAGTTGTGAAACACTGCCGTGCGTCCCAAACAGCACCATCTATCCGAGACCAGAACATGACAGGAGTGCCAGGCTCTCGGCAACAATCCATCTCTGATATGCAGTGGACGGCGTGCGGGCCCGGCGAGGCCATAGCAACGCGGTCACCACCTACCTGTTCACCGACGGGTGACGGCGGCCGAGGTTCGCCGCTGGCGTGCGTCGCCGGCGGGCCGGGCTCGGCCTGGCGCGGCTCGCCGGCCGTCGCGGACCCGGCCGGGGCGTCAGCGGACGCGACCGAGACCGCGGCCGCGGCAGGCTGGCTGCCGGGACGCTCCGGGGAACCACCCGACGCGCCGAGCTCGGAGCCGTCGCTGGACGTGGCGCGAGGACTGTCCGCCGATCTGGAGGGATCGCCGGGCGATGTGGCGGACGCAGGCGTCGGCGGACCGTGGGTGGAGGGGACAGGAGCAGTGCGAGCGGCAGCGGATGACGAAGGGTTCGTGGCGGGACTGACC